TTGTAAATCAAAAATGGTATATTGCCTAGATTTCCAAATGGAAACAAACTGAGCTAAAACTGAAAGCATAATTCCCATGGTACTATCAAAACAATATTATTCAGATTTCAAAGAGGATAACCTCTTTCAAGATTACATATGCATAGACTGAATGCTGGACTTTTACTAATGTTTATCATAAAAGATAAACCTAATGTTTATCATAGAAGTCTTCACCGTTTTTTCTTTTTGAAATCTAAGTAGATGATAACATTAGGTAATATTTATAAATTATAGTTCCAGGCACTATAATAAATAATTTTGAAAAATAACCTTAAAAAGTAGGTACTAGGGCGCCTGGGTGGCTCAGTTGGTTAAGCGACTGCCTTCGGCTCAGTTCATGGTCCTGGAGTCCCCAGATCGAGTCCCACATCGGGCTCCCTGCTCAGCAGGGAGTCTGCTTCTCCCTCTGACCCTCTTCCCTCTCGTGCTCTCTCTCTCTCTCATTCTCTCTCTCTCAAATAAATAAATAAAATCTTTTAAAAAAAAAAGTAGGTACTATTATCTCTGTTAGGCAACTGAAGGACAACAAAGTTAAGAAATATTTTTAGCCAACCAGCTAGAATGGTAAGACTGAGATCCAAACCCAGACCATTCTCACTCCCACAAAAACACATTTCAATTTGTGCATATCACCTTATCTATCTTATTGAGAGGAGTAAAAGCATTATTTGAACTCTTAAGGAAACACCACTGGTACTTTTTGTTTTGGAAACTCTTTAAGCTTAACTAATCTTATAAAATGAACTTAAATGATAGTTAACTGAAATATTTGTGTGCTTGCCAAATACTTCAATTCAGGTCAGAAAAAATGTGTTTGTTTGTTTATTAATTTCCCTCTTGACTTCCACCATTCCTGTCTAAACAACCTCTCTTCCTTCTTCCTACTCTTTTGCACTTTTCTTTTCAAACCAGTTGCTGGATTACCATTAAACTCTTAAATTACATGGCCTCTCCCAGGTCTCTAAGAAAGCTTTATCATTTAATAAGCTGTGTAAACATCTACTGTAATAGACAATAGAAGTTTTTCAGGAAAAAGAAGAGATTGGTAAACAATTTCATCCCCTCTTCTTTTGTTTAGTTTAATGCAAGTTAAAGCATGTTATTAGCATGATTGACTTTGTTCAAAGTATTATACTTAGAGTTCTTTGAGATTCAGGCTTAAAGTCATGCATGCTTAAACTAAGGTACTATAGTTTGGTCACCCTGAGTGTTTATAATATTTCCAGTGCATAAGGTGAAAAGAGACAATAGTCTACATCTCAAAATGCCAAATAAGGCACTAAAATAGCAAGGCATTTGCAGCTTGTGAGAAAAGTGTTAATAACATTATCCATTTATGGAACAGCATTGCTCAGAAAGAAACTCAAAAGAATCAGAGCTTAACCCATTAATCATGCATGTAAATTTGATTCTCTAAGCTAATGAGCTCATGACATTTATCAGTAGCCAACCAAAAGAAAAAAGCATCTAGCTGCTTAATTCTAAATCAGATTTTCATTAATTATATTGAAAATATATTTGCTTTTTCAATAAATATGTATTTCTCTGAACACAATGAAAGCATTTATTAGATGTTTGATTATATTAATTTCATGGTTCTAACAAGAATTATAGAACTTTTATACCACAAAGGCTCTGAAGGATTGTCAAATCCCTATATACCAAGAATATGTTGTTTTATAAATAAAAGGATATAAATAAAATCAGTAGACTCTGAAGTATTGACTGCAGAGATATCTTGAAAAGGAAATGAATTCAGCATAGGTTCCACAGGTTCCACTGATCATCTGCATGCAATTAGGAAATTTAAGCCAATTAGGAGTACCCAATGCAAACATTGTGATCCTGATAACAAAACACAATGCCTGATGCCTAGCTATTAAAGCCTTAATATTTCCTTTTCGTTTGTTTGCTTTTCCAGTTTTATTGAGATATTATTGGCATATAACACTATATTAGTTTAAGGTATACAACATAATGATTTGATATAAGTATATATTGTGACGTGATTCCACAGTGAATTTATTTAACATCCATCACTTCACATAGCTATAATTTTTTCCTTGTGATAAGAATTTTTAAGATCTATTCTTTCAGCAACCTTCAAATATATAATACAGTATTGTTAACTATATGCGATATGCCCAGAACTTCACATTTATCTTATAACTGGAAATTTGTACCTTTTAACCACCTTCACCCATTTCCTCCACCCCCATCCACCACCTCTGGCAACCATCAGTCTATTCTGTTTCTAGTAGCTCCATTTTTTTAGACCCCACATGTAAGTGAGATCATATAGTATTTGTCTTTCTCTGTCTGGCTTATTTCACTTAGCAGAATGCCTTCATTTATGGCTAAATATAATATTCTAGCATTTATATTTTCTTTATCCATTCATCCATAGATGGACACTGAGGTTGTTCCTATGGCTTTGAAGCCTTAAGTTTTCTATTAGTAGTTTCTATTATATCTAGTGAGCTTTTTTAAATTTAAGGATAGTTGATGTTTATAGACATACACTGTTAAAACACAGTGAACTGTAATGCCTTTTTTTGTGTCATTTATTGTACATTAAAATTGAAGGTAGTGTGATAAAAAGAGGATCTTATTCTTTACATTAAACTGATATGGGCTATCCTCTCTTGAAAAGAATTTAGCAGCAATAGGAAAATTTCAAAGACTGCTTTCAAATAATAAAATAAATTTTCTAATCTGGGTCATTTATGTATACTGCAAGGATGAAATTACCCACAGGAAAGCAAATCACATCATAGAAAGTGTTACTTTGCTTTCTTGTTTCCTCAAAGTAGAAATTTTCACCGAATTTTTTACTAGCATCTTCTCATTTTTTTTACTTAAAAAAATTAAAAATTTTGAAAAATCTAAAAATGTTTTCTAAAAAATAAAAGCATTAATGGACTGTGGAACAGTATTACCAAAGCTTCAGAAGAAAAGATCAACTTCAAATAGTCACTTGTATTTTATTCTACTCATATCTTTCAAATGACCTTCAAGAGATATTCACTAGAGAGCATACAGCCTACCCTCCAACTCTAAGTTAAAGGTTCCATACATCCTCTTTTTGGATGATGTTTGATAGCTGAATAAAATAGAAAAGAATCTTCAGTGCCTAGTCTTTCCATAACATCCATGATCATAGGGAAATTATCCTCAAAGAAGAAGATTCAAAATCCTAAGTTTAAGGACTAAAGTTAGTGATTCCAATGTAATAGATGAAGTAGGTGGCTCTGTTAGATAATATGCATAATATTATTTAACTGTTAGTTGTCAGAGATGAATATGAAGTGTGTGTGTGTTCCTTTGTATTTTTTTTACAAACAAATGATGCTATGAGAAGCCATAGTCACACCATATCAACAAATTAACTTGCTTATGTATTTGTTTGACCGTACATTAATGATCACAACATTCAGAACTCTGAGATCACCCACTGAGAGGATATTTGGAAACTTAGATCTCTGTTCTTTTATGCATACAGTTAAACCTGTGTGCCTTACCTATACCATGGACCAGAAAATAAATTTAGAACTAGAATGATATAACCGTGGTTTGGGGACATGGTGTCAAAACAAACTAATACATCATAGGTTGTCATATTTAGCAATAACTATGACTACTAATAAAAAACTCAAGTTAATCAATGATTTGCTTGCTCTTTATATAAATTAGGACACATTCACAGTTATTGTTCTAACACCATTTTTGCTCAGTTGAATGTCTTGTGATTTCTTGAATGAGAGGCAAAGGAATATCCAATTCCATTTAATTCTGAGAAAACTCATGAGCGTGAACTCCACATGTGAATAAGTGAATAATTTTTATATATATAAAAATAATATAGAAAATAAAAATAAATATATATATCCTTCTACATGAGCATGAGCAAGACAAGAACTCTTGTTCAGTTTGGACCCTGGTGAATAAAGGTCTTTATTTCAGTGGAGCCAATTATATATTCACAGACTTTTCTCTCCCACCTCCCTAGTGCAAGGAGAATTTTTTTTTTCCTTTCTCGTGGAACATAAATTCCACATCAGTTTTTCTGGTACATAAAATGCTTTTTGACTATCTACCAGTAATTAATAGCCTTTCATCCAAGTAGGTAATATATGGGAGTGAATTTATTGTTTATGAGTATATCAATATCATTTAAAAACTATATGCAAGGATATAAAGGCAACACTGAAGTGTAAAATTGTTAATGCAGACTCATAGCCTGGAAAATGATTTCTTTTAATAGTTTTCTTCATTTAACCGTTCTTCATTTGAAAATGTTCCCTTTCAACTGCAGATTTTGTGGCTTGGTGCAGTGAAGGAGAAATTTATTCTTTTGAGATATTTATTCTTTAATAGTTATTCATTTGAAAAAGTTTCACTGGGTGCTTATATATTTTGTAGTTTGCAAAGAGATTCATTTTTGATAGTTCTTTTTAATGTCTATTTATTTAAATAGATTCTCATCTATGGAACTGTTGTCAAATTTCTTTAAATTTGGGAGTTCTGGTAAAACAGTACTAGGTCAACCTGTGGACTTTCTTGGAGCTCTGCAAGCCCTGAGACCACAGAAGAGTCACATCATTAGAAAGGAGACAATTTGTAGAATGAAATTTAACCATTAGTAGATGTCCTTAACTTTAGTGTTTTTGTGATTTCAGCCTTACTACCACAGAGCATTTACATGAGGACTGGTTTGGTAATGTATTATGTGGCCATGAAAAATATATATCAAACTCTCCCACATAGATTTGAAAGCAGGGTATCTGTCACAAACATTTTGTCTTAATATTGAATATGGCCACTCTAACTTCAAAAAAATTTTGATCGTTTGTTTTGGGATTTTACAGAACCTGAGTCAGGTCATAATATGTTCTTATGGGGCTCTTAAATTAAGTATCTATTTATTGTCCTCACTCTGGCCCATTTTTAATTCACAGTTCCAAAGACAGCACCCACCAATGTAAGTGGAAGAAGTGGAAGAAGGCATGAGTTAGTCATAGCCTGGGAGGTAAGAAAGCCTGTACTCAGATGTCAGAACTTGTTGATTCTTTAGGAAATAAGGCTACATATATAGGATCTGTATCTGGTACAGAGAGACTGAATAATTTCTGCTTAAATGAGGTTAAGAGACACTTTGACCATATATTACTCAGATGAGTATTGCCAACATGAACCTGTCTCATTTCATACTCAAACCCAGCTGACTTTTCTCCAAGTCTAAAGTATGTCTTCCTGCCATATAGGTTATCTCAGAATAAAGTTTGAATAATTAAAACAGATCCTCTCACAAACTACTTCAGGTGTTTGTTTGGCTTAGTTTTACATATAATTATTTCACAATTAAATAGCACCCTTACTAAAACCATTGGGGAGGAAGGAAATGACCACCAGTGCTTTTGTGGCACAGTGCCTGGGTTATCTCATTTAACCCATAAAGCAACCCTATTAGTAAAGATAATAATTTTTCCTCATTTTAAAAATTATGAAACTGAGGCACAGTTTAAGTACTCTTCCTAATCAGCAGTAGAATTGGGACTTCAATTGTGTTCTCTTGTCTCTATCACCATGTGTTCTCTGAAGTTTCTTCTATAAAGGAGGCAGGGAAGAGGGGTGTAAGAGATACATTTATTTCCCATGAAGCCACTTTCCTTTCATTGATGTTAGAATACCTTATTATCAAATATAACATGTAGCTTACAGAATTATGCCCTAGAACGTGAAAATGTAAAGGAGATGGAATGTGTCTACTGGAGCAAAGTGAACAAATCCACTATAGTCTCTAAAACAATGATCAAATGTACAGAAAAATGTTTCCCAGTAAGAAATCTTCCATGAGCATATACTCTGTTCTGCTATTCTGTCCATCCCTCTCTTCAGTAAAAATTTATTTCTGATTTTTTACTTCTGCGGAGGAATTAACTTCCCAATACCTGAACTTCACTGAAGTCAAATCTCTCTAAAGAGAACTTCCTTCCCTAGTAGCTTCACATCTTAGCCCCAGCTGCTAAAACAAGAATACCATGGCCTGGGGGTGACTTATGAATGACAGAAATGTATTTCTCACAGTTCTGGAGCCTAGAAATTTAGGATCAAGTCACCAGCAGATCCCAGTCTGGTGAGAGCCATCTGGTTGAGATTTCTACCTCATATTTGGTTATAAGAGTTAAATGGTTAACAGATGGCTATTTTCTCACTGTACCCTCACAGAGGGGCTAGAGGGTCACTACTCCCATTCATAAGGGCTCTGCCTTCGTAATTTAATAACCTACCAAAATCCTCATCACACTGGGGGTTAGGATTTCATTATATGAATTTTGGTGGGATATAAAAGCTTGGTCTATAGAACTTTGATATAATAGGCTTTGTCTCTCTTCCTCTACTCAATACAGTTTTTCCTGAAATCAAAATTCAAAAGAAAAAAAACATGTTTCAGCAAGTATTTATTGGGTATCTATGTGTCAAGCATCAGCTAGGTAGTGGTTGGTGACTGCTCCTTTGACTAACTAGTCAATCACAGTTACTCCTTTCTATGCTGTGGAGTTTGCACCTGGTTAACACATTTAAATGTAAGCATATAGTATAACAATTACTTGAACAAATATTCTTTTCTATTTTTTTCACATTAGTAAAACACAAAAGCAAATGAAAAAGAAAACACTACAAAAAAAGGTCTTACATTAATATTTCCTGTTTTTTCTGCACAAAGGTCTCTGCAGAGCACTTCTAGCAACAGATTTTTCTGACCACCAGACCAACAGTTTTCCCCAACATGCTACATTCTAGTGTGGAATGTTCATTTTCATATACATGACTAAATAGTTTAAATTTGTTTCACTTCAAGAGTTTTCAGTACCCTTGATACTCTTCTTAAATACTAACTGATATTATTTAAATTTTTATCTTTTGCTTTAAACCCCTTTTAAGTTTCCAAAGACTACTAAGTGATTGTGCTATATTGGCTTCCAGGGTAGCATTACACACTTGAAAGTCTCCTTTTCTCTGGTTATCCATAATTTAAAAAAAAATAATAAAGTTTGGAAAAAGTGGCTTTTTTAATCAGTTATTTTGCTGATAATTAATTGCATTTTTCTTCTTTAGCCAGTATCTGAAGAGTTTCAGAATGGGGAAGGCTTTGGCTATATTGTGGCTTTCAGGCCCAATGGAACACGTGGCTGGAAGGAAAAAATGGTGACATCCTCTGAAGCTTCAAAATTCATTTATCGAGATGAAAGTGTTCCTCCTCTCACTCCCTTTGAAGTGAAGGTTGGCGTTTATAACAATAAAGGAGATGGACCTTTCAGTCAGATTGTGGTTATCTGCTCAGCTGAAGGAGGTCAGTTTCTTTATCCCTATTATTTACATTCCACACTTTATTATGGGTGATATATGGATATTATATCGATGAGACATTTTTGCACACATATCAGAAAATACAGATATACCAAAAGAAAATAAAACTAATCCATATTTTCATTATACTTTTTAGATATATTTTTCCAAATAATTTTTATTTAAAAAAATTTGAGCATTCCACACATGTTGCCTTATGTTCTTCACTCCTAAACAATATATGGCAAATATATTTTCATGATAACAATATTAATAACATCTACAGTGTATTCTTTCCTCTGGATAGACATTTAACCAATCATTCTTGGTTTTTAAATTTACACAATATTATATTTTAACCCACTAAATTTAAATGTATGTGAAATAAATTTAAATAAATACTCCATTTATGTGACCAATAAATATTTATTACTAACCTCATACACAAAACATCATACTGATAAAGAAGTATCAGACAGGGCTTTCTGTTGAAAATTTTTCACATATTACATCATGAAATTCCCATGAAAATCTTTTCCAATAGTCATTATTATCCCCATTATAGAGAAAGAAATTGAAGTTAAAAAGTTAAGAAACTTGCTAAAGGTTATACACCTTGTAACTGAAAATTAAACCTGAGTCTATCTAATCATTAAATCCTTGATTTTTCTCTAACATGCTGTTTTCATATGCATAACTACATTTAATTCTCAAGATAAAACTACTAGGTATGCAGGACTTACTAAGCAATATACCCATTTTACAAATGAGTAAACTGTAAAACTGTGACTTATTTATGGTTACAGTCAGGTGGTAGTGCTGAAGTGTGAACTCAGCTTCATACAAAAATGCAATTTTCTTTTTTTCCCTTTAAATTTTATTCATTGTTATGTAAATCGCCACACATTACATCATTAGTTTTTGATGTAGTGTTCCATGATTCATTGTTTGTGCATAACACCCAGTGCTCCATGCAGAACGTGCCCTCTTTAATACCCATCACCAGGCTAACCCATCCTCCCACCCCCCTCCACTCTAGAACCCTCACTTTGTTTTTAGAGTCCATTGTCTCTCATGGTTCATCTCCCCCTCCAGTATCCCCCCTTCATTCTTCCCCTCCTGCTATCTTCTTCTCTTTTTTTTTTTTCTTAACATCTATTGCATTATTTGTTTCAGAGGTACAGGTCTGTGATTCAACAGTCTTACACAATCCACAGCACTCACCATAGCACATACCCTCCCCAATGTCTATCACTCAGCCACCCCATCCCTCCCACACCCCACCACTCCAGCAACCCTCAGTTTGTTTCCTGAGATTAAGAATTCCTCATATCAGTGAGGTCATATGATACATGTCTTTCTCTGATTGACTATTTCACTCAGCATAACACCCTCCAGTTCCATCCACATCATTGCAAATGGCAAGATCTCATTCCTTTTGATGGCTGCATAATATTCCATTGTATATATATACCACATCTTCTTTATCCATTCATCTGTCGATGGACATCTTGGCTCTTTCCACAGCAAAAATGCAATTTTCTGAAAGAGATAGTATGATAGATCTAATCCCCTAAGGTGAGTTTTTTCTCTTAGTCTTTCTTCTACTCAAGTGCAGAATTTCAACTGGCCCTGCTAACAAAAACAATGCCTCATATTCCCTAAATTTGACAAATGATTGAGAAAATGTTCCGCCAAAGATAGCACTCTTTTGACCTAATAAACATTATTAAGATAAACTGGAACTTTGATACTTTTTTGTACCCACTTATGTGACTTATTTAAATAACTTAAGAGAATTATCTTTTGGGTACTGTGAGCTAGATGGCATGGGCGGGGGGAGAAAATAAATAAGGTCATCTGAATATTGAAGCACAAAGATAGTATTTGATTTATGTAAGTTGCAGTTTTTCAATACAAGTTGCCCTGAGGTTTTTTAATATATAGCCAAATTCTGAAGCAGAAGCAGAAAGTTTATCCTAGTGTAATAATGATCAGGAAAGTGAAGAATTAAGTAATAACTAGGAATCATATGTGTTCCAGTGAGATACCCAGGAACTTAGCATATCAAGTGTCTGATGTGTTTCCAGTTACAGCGGAGATACCATATTACTCAAATTATTTAATTTAATTCTTACAATCAAATATGAGGTAGAAATCTCAAACCCCAATCTACTTTTCAGGAAGCTGAGGCTCAGAGAAGTAAAGTAACATGCTCCAATTCACACCAGAAAGTAAGAGAGTTGTAAGTAACTATAGTAAGTGACAGAACTGGGATTTGAACCCACATCTGTATGACTCCAAAGCTCATGTTTTTAACCACTACCCTATACTGTCTCATCAGGAGGGTATATAATAATAATATTTTGTCATTTTACTATATTATATATAATCATACTTTACACTATTTGTTACTGTAAAAATCTATTTTGAAGTATATATTTTATTCAGGAAATGCATCTTCTGGTTGCTTTAACATTTCTTCGACCTAATTATCAAGCACATAACCCCAAAGGTTACATAAGGTAAATTGGAGAGGTTTGTGAATATGCTTTGTATAGTAACACCAGTATTGACTTTAATAAATCAAGATTTGTACATTCCTTGTCAACCTTTGCTTTGAAATTAAATTATCACAATCACTGTGCATTGTTTATACTGTGTTTCTTTAGACTTGAAATAGCTTGCCTTTGGAGATTACACTTTCAAGTTAGATAGGAAATATGCATATCTTCTTTTAAAGGCACTGAGGTCATTGCTATATTCATAGTAACACTTCATTTATTTTGGTCGATTGACATATAAATGATACCAGGCAAATTAAATCTAGATAGTCTGCTTTTGTTCTTTTTTCCAATTTTTAAAAATATTTATTTATTTATTTGAGAGCAAGAGGGAGAGAGGAAGAGCACAAGAGTGGGAGGAGAGGGGGAGGGAGAAGCAGACTCTCTGCGGAGCAAGGAGCCCAATGCGGCCCTGGATTCCAGGACCCCAAGATCATGACCTGAGCCAAAGGCAGACACTTAACTGACTAAGCCACCCAGGCACCCCTGCTTTTGTTCTGACAACAAAATTAAAACATATATTTGGCATTGCTCACTAGTTAAATTGACTAATTTGGAAATTTATGTGTAAATAAGAGTAAAATTTTAGCATCATTAAATTGTGTAACTAGGAAAGATAGGACAATGGAAAGGAAGAGCATTTGCCTGAAATGGGCAGAGTTTCAATCTGCTCACACTGACTAAAATTTTGCAATTTATCCACCTCTCTGCACCTTATCTTCCTCCACTTTAAAAATGAAAGTCCTGAACTAGAACATCTCTAGAAGCCATTACAAATCTGAATCTGAAAGTTTATCAATTTATTCCATAATTTTAAATACTCTAAATTTTAATTTTCCCAGGTAGGAAAAATTACTTTACTTTAAAAGAAGTGAAGATTTTGAATAGTAAAACATTTTTTAAAAGAGTCAAGGACTGTAATGAACTGGTAAAATAATATATTGTATTCATGTCAGTGCAAGTTCCGCTCCTCTATGTCTGGGGACAATCATACAGATTCAAAGTGTGCCTTTGGGGCGCCTGGGTGGCTCAGTTGGTTAAGCAACTGCCTTCAGCTCAGGTCATGATCCTGGAGTCCCAGGATCGAGTCCCACATCGGGCTCCCTGCTCAGCGGGGAGTTTGCTTCTCCCTCTGACCCTCTTCCCTCTCATGCTCTCTACCATTCTCTCTCTCTCTCTCTCAATAAATAAATAAAAATCTTTAAAAAAAAAGTGTGCCTTTGTCATCATACTCTTGCCCAAAGCCCAACTGATCTGATTAAGACTGTAGTTCTCCATAAGATAAATTCTGCCCCTTTTTTCTTCCATCAACCTAGTCCACTTGCTTATCACCTCAAAAGCCCACCATATTCTTTGACAAAATAAAGAACAAGAGGATTGGGGCTGGCATTCTGTCTCTGTTCACGGGCATATTTCTTCCTCTTCATATCAAGATGACTAGCTGCCTGGAGTACTATGGAGAAGCCACCTTTTCTCAGCTTACACCAAGTCAGGAAGAAAACATGTGCCACCAGAACTCATGTTGTTTGGAAAGAAGCAAGGACTTCAAGACAAACCTTACAATACTAGTTCTCAACTCATTTTCCAGTGGTAGATGATGATGGATGACATTCACATTCAGAGCTCACCTCTATAATTAGTTATGTGCATTCCTTATACCTTCCATCCCTTTCTTTTCCTCTCAAGAAAGTCAATTGGGATGAGAGTGAGAATTACATTATTATAGGGAAAATTTTGAAAGTGATCTTTTAGTAAAATAACTCATCATTTATAATATTGATATTTGATAAATCCCTTGGGAAATGACCTTGACTCTTGTGACTCTGAAGTGGAAAGCTGTCCTAGAATATTATCAGAAAAGCTCCAAAATGATTCTTCTGCTAATGCTCTTGAGCCTTGGAAACCTTTCAAGATTTCCACAACAGAAGTAACCCTGCATGACTCTAGATAACCCTTCCATGCACCTTGCACAATTATCTATATATATATCTCTCTATATATCTATATAGAGATATATATATCAATTATATATTTATATAATATATATTTATATTATATATCTATATATATCAATTATCTATACTTTTTAAACCAGGCAAAATGTGCATTATCATCTTGATTTGACCTCAAATCTCTACGGTATGCTGTAATCCTATACAATACCCTCATTCTGAAACAATTCTAATTTTTTTAAATGATAGCAAAGTTGTAACAGTGATTTATAATGCATGGTAGATTTTTTAAATATGAAAAATCCAATTGGCTTTCACTTCTATATATCTAGAAATACTTTTTAGTCAAACTTATATCCATTTTCCACTTGGTTCTTCTTACTATAGTTTTGAAAGGAAAAGAAACTGAGCATTCACTTACATATAATAGAAAAATAGAGGGAATTTTGATATAGATTAATTATAGTTTGAAAGATTTATTTATTTGT